CTTCAAAAAATGTTGCTGAATTAGTTTGTTGCTGCATTCAATGAGTAACATTAATTAGTTTTGAGATGAAAAAAGAAAAAAATATTTAATTGAAAAAAAAACAAATGAAGGTGTATTAAATTAAAACTAAAGACCACATTCATTAAGTAATTCTTCTGTAAAACTTTGGAGTGAAAAAGATTTGTTGTAAGAAGGAAAATGATTAACATCTATTATATATGGCTTTCCTGTTCCATTCTCTCTAATTATGTCAAATCCAAATAAAGTTATATTAAATGCTTTAGACAATAAGTCACAGAAGTTTTGTAATTCTATAGTTGTAAAAGGTTTCATTTGACTTGATGTTAAAAAGTACTTTTTCTTTGATTCAGGGTCTTCATTATTGAAATTGAAATATTCCAATTTGCAACTACTATCAATATTTCCCATTGATTCTTGAATAGTTGATGAAATAATCTTCTTCCCTATACAGAATACTTTTGTTAATTGACCATTATGATTAATATATTCTTGAATAACACATGGATAGTTAATATGATTAAATCCATTTGGATGATTAATAATTGTCATTTCATGTGACTCATGACTTCCTTGTGATGGGATTGGTTTTGTAATAACTGGAAGATGAATAGTTTGATGTTTATTAAGAAATCTCATCATTTCTTGATAAGACTGAATAATAATAAATTGTGGGCAAGCAATTCCACACTGAATAAGTCTTTCATAAGTTAATTTTCTTGATTGGATTATTTTTTGGTTTTGAATTGGATCTACAACCAGTGCATTTGGATTATTTTTTATTGAATCTAAAATTTGTTGACAATCGTGATCATTGATTATTTTTGGTAATAAGATATCAAAAGGTTGTGTCAAATCACTTCCACAATAGACATTAATGATTTTATTTTTATAACAAAAAGAAATATTGTTTTCATTCCATCCCATTTTTTTTTTCTTTGAATCAGATATGTGAATTATTACTTTTTTCATTTTTATTTTTTTAAGTTCTGATTAATGAATTTATTTTTTACAAAAAGAAAGAACTTGAAATGATTACTAGTTCAACTAATCAATTTGGAAAAAGTTACAAAGGATGATATCAAAGGGTTATCTATAGAAATGTAGATAGAAGAAAAGATAACCCTATCATCTACAAAATAGTTATTTCAATGACAAAAGAATTTAACACTCCATTAATATTTCCAACACACCCTATTCGAACTTCAATTGCAAATTACAATTACAGTCTATATTCAAAAGAACAAAGACCAAGTGATAGGAAGTATGAAGAATATTGCAACGCTAATTTACGTGTGAAGACAATACCCAAAAAGAAGATACTAAAAGATGAAATTAAACATTCAAAATTTAATACACGTCCTTTATTACCTTCTTTTAATAATAACTCGTCACCAACATCTACTCTTAGGTTAAGAACAGACACTAACAAAACTAGATCATCTACAACTTCATTTTCTGATAATGCAATTCAAATATTTACATTACCTAGTCATATTCGTACAAACGATGTTAAAAAACAAGAAGAAATAAAGTATGAATGGGAAGAATCAAAAAAATCATTTAAAATATATGAAGCATGTCAACAAGCTATTTTGATAGGATTATTGATAATAAATGATTATGAAATTGAAATTAATAAAGAAATAAATAAGAAGAAGAAAAAATTCCCAATGCTTGACATTCTCTCTATCAAGAAATCAGAAAACAATAAATTAGTTTCATGTGGATTAAATGAATTTATTGCTAAATCAATGAAAGAGAATGAAACAATAAAAGAAACTGAAATAAAAAGAAGTGACTACAAACAAAGAAAGAGAAACATTCTTATAATGGAATTTATGATAAAATTAATGAGAAAAGAAAAATCTGTAATAGATGTAGTTAAACCAAGAGTAGGTGGTACTCTTTTAAAAAATGAGATAATGTTTATTACTTCTTTTACATTAGATATGTTTAAAAAACCAGTCTGTTTGAATCAGCAAGATATTTTAAAAATTGGTAAACGTATTAATAATCTAATTACTAAAATTGCACTTACCTCACTTCCACAAAAATCAATTATACTTACTCCTTACCACTACATAATTAGTAGTATTTTTATTCAATTCTTTAGAGATTCTCTTGAACAATTTGACAAGGTAATACATTTTAAAGAATCAGAAAACATATCATTAACAAACACTTATATTTTTCAAAATTTACAACCTGAATTTATAAACCATTATCAGAACTTTGACTTTTCTTTTATTAGAGCAGATACTCTCCAATTTATTCTGAAAACATTTTGATTTAGTGTAGTGTAATTTTATTAGTTTGGTTTAAATAATTTGATTTAATTTTTTCCAATTATTAATCAATTAAAATTCATTCAACTATAATTACAAGAATAACAAACAAAATAACTAAAATACTACTAATACAGAGAAAAATCATTAGACCCCATCTAACTTTTAATTTTTTATTTTCTTTCATGTCCTTTGCAACTTGATTTTGTTGCAATTGTTCACTGGGATAAATGTTAGTTGAAATATTTTTATAATTATTAGTTTCTAGTCTTGATATTGTTTTAGACTTTGAAAGAATTTGTCTCTTTCTGACAGGACTCTAGAAAGTAAATATGACCTTACTTAGATGAAAACAATAATCCAAAACAAACTGGTTTGTTTTCACAGATTTTTATAAAGTTTAATAATTGTTTTGTTCCAACTTTGCTCTTTTCAAAAGTTTTAACAATTTGTTCAACATCTAATTTATTTTCTGTTGGTTGTTGGGAAAATGATTTTGACCTTATTTCTTCTGAGAGTGCATGAGTACTTCTTTGACTTTCTTCAATTTTTTGTTCATTTTTATCATGCTCACTTTTCATTTCTTCAATAACACGTTGTAGCTGTATAGTTTTTTCAAACAACGCATCTCTTTCAATAGCAACACTATCTTTTGCTCGTGTTAACACAATTTTTCCATTATTAGTTTCAATAGTACAATGAATTCCTGTGTTTTTACTAACATGTTTTTGTAATTCTTCAAGAACTTTAGCGTGTTCATTCTTTTCTTGAACCAACTTATCTGTTATCTCTCCTTGTCGCTCTATACTTTTCTTTATTTTGTCTGTCAACTCGTTCATAATTTGAACTTTTTCGATTGCAACTTTTCTTGCTGCTTCTCTCTCATTCTGAACTGTATTTAAACAGAAATTTGCCTCTTTTATCATTTCTATTATTTGTTCATAATTGTTTTCATCTTCAGTCAATTCATCTTCAATTTCTTCTGTATTTGAATAGTATGTGTCTTCTTCCATGTCTGTTTCTATTCATATCATTCCTTTATTATAAGTTCTTTTCATCTTTTCATAGTACATTTACCATAAAATATCTTTCAAGTTCTCTTGAAGAAACATCAAAATATAAAAAAGAATTTTGTTTTATGTTAAAAAACCTCAAAAAGAAAAACAAGAAGAAATGTTAAATGAACTTAAAATCAAAGGAAATCATTACAAATAAATTGAATGAGTGAACTTGATTTAGTGTTTTTATGTGATACTACAGGGTCTATGGGTTCATATCTTCGTGCTGCACAAGAAAGTATTGAGAAGATAATTAGTACAATTATACAATCAGAGAAATGTGATGTTAGATTTGCACTTGTTGAATATAGAGACCATCCACCACAAGACAATTCATTTGCGTTTAGACTCACTGACTTTACTGATTCTATGAAAGCTATCAAAGAAGCAGTTAATAGGATGAATGCAAAAGGAGGAGGAGATGAACCAGAGTCTGTTTGTTGTGGAATGCACTGTGCAAGTAATTTAAAGTATCGAGAAAGTGCAGCAAAGGTGATAGTTTGGATTGGTGATGCACCACCTCATGGGTTTATTAGGGAAGGAGATGGGTTCCCTAAAGGATGTCCATGTGGATATGATTTACTTAAAGAAGTAAGAGAATGTATGAAAAAAGATATTGTCATATATTGTGTAGGTGCAGAACCATTAGGAAGTAGATATTTAAGAACATTAATGCGAGCAGTAGCACAATTAACAGGAGGACAATATGCAGCACTAGCATCAGCTAATGTTCTTGGAGAATTAATCACTAATGGAGCTATTGAAGAGGTTCAAATGAAAGGAGTTATTA